TTTTTCTTTGGCAACTTTATAGATTTCTCTTGGCTTACATAGAAGTATCAAATGTGAATTTCTGAAGTCGGACTTTGAGATTCATTAAGATTACAGTCAGATTTAACTAAGCATCCTGAAAGCAATATCTGATCCAAAAATACACTTGCGGAAGCTGGCTTGCATTCCATAATTGCATTTAAGTTCTCCAATACTGAAACAGCAGCAAGAGCCTGCGGTTTGTTTGATGAAGCATAAGCTATCAAACTTGGCAAAGCTGGACTTGTATTATAAATTTCTGGAGGCAACAGTATATGCATCATATTTATAATTTCCCTAAAAATACAAGTATGTGTTTTGAAACAATTGAAATATAAGTAAATTATTTTTACATACCTAAAAGAATAGTAGCTCTAACTGAAATAAATGTATCAGAAGCTACGATGACCTCAACAAGGGCTGAAAGAACCCCTGAATTGAGTAAAAGTATAAAAGCAATGCTAAATGTTGTTCTGCGGGACTTGGCACAGTACTAACTAATGTAGGAAGAATACTACGACATTCTGCAACTACAAATCCTTCATTTAGTCGCCATTGATCCTAAAAAAACTCTTCAAGTTATATACTTTTAGTATTTAATTTCTGAGTGTTATTAATAATTATTAACCTGAAAGTCAGTAGGATCCAAAGCAGCCACTGCCACAGAATATTCATCAGTCCAAACAGGTTGTGGCAAACCCACTAATTCATACAGAAGATCCAACACAGCTCTCTACAATTTGATAATTAATGAAAAAACTACAAAACTATTTAAATTAATTCAGATTTGTATAATGATTTTAATACCCTGACTTCTAGTTGGTTCAAATACAAAATGGATATTATAGATGAAAGACCAGAAGGTTTATCTGGATTACAAAACTGTAAAGTTCCAGCCCAACTACGTAATACTGATAGCAATGCTAATCTGCTACATGTGATCCGAATATCTCGAGCATCTCTGAGCACAATACATTCATATTAAAACATAAAATATATGAATACATTAAATATAAAGTTTAATTATATAACTTACTTGCTCTTGTCTAATATGCCAAGCCGATATTGAAAATCACAGTATGGTGAAGCTAACATTTCTAAACAGATTTCAGAATGAGCCCTAGATTCAGGATTTTCTAATAAGTGTAATAACACACCAACTAAACTTTCAGCTATTCTAGGACTGTGGCATTCAAGAATATTATGTAGAATCACACTCACACCACCGCAATCTATAAGCTGGTTTGAATTCAGTATACCTATAAATTAGATAAATTTGATGTGAAAAATAATACAGCATAAGCTACAATCGCAAATCTTTATAAGTGTTTGAGATTACCTATTTCACACAATATGGCTAAACATGCTCTCAAAAGCCGTTCACCTTGTTCACTACCACCCATGCCTAGAGCCACCATAGCCCTTGTCAGCACTGGGCTAAAAGTATCTGGAGATAATATCAAGATGCGTCGAATCTAAAACATTATTGATGACTCATACACAAATAAAAAACTTATTCACAATTCCGAACTTGAATAATATGTATGATACTAAAATAAAATCTCTGGTTGGTAAAAATGAAAACCAGTGAAAATATGTATGATATTTTACATAAAATCATGTGCATTACCAACTGAAATGCTTGAATTCTCTCCATTTCATTCTTTAACACAATATCTATGCAACGACATATGAGATGAGGCAGCTTCATCTGATTGAATATTTGTACATGTTCTTTTGTCTTCAGAATACGCCTAAGAGCTCTGAGGGCTCCAGCTCGTATTTGTGTGCTCTCATGCACTAATGAAATACGTAAACTAAGACAATAATGTAATTTATAAAATTGATACCAGACAATAGTATTACATTGTGCACTTAACCAACCATATTAACAATTCCTCAAATGTAAATATACTGTGTATGGCTGCTTGTCCAGTCTGTGTGCCAATAAGAATAACGAAGGCATTTAAAAGTGAAAATCTTCTACTGGTACTAATGTTTTGAGTGCATAGTTGTGTTAATAATCTCCAAGCATTTTCCAAAGAGTTGCAAGTTGGGTCTAATTTAAATTCATCTTCAAATTGTATTTTTGCTGGAAATATGAACAATGAGTATCGGTTTTAAAATGAAAAAGTTAGAATAATTTGAGATTAAATTTTATACATTTAGATCTGCCTGAGCGTAAGCTCCTGTGGCGCAACATCCAGCTAGCAGCCATTTCAATAATTTTAGATTTACTTTACACTTCATAAATGATACATTATTTTATATTTGATATTATTTATTGGATTGTTTACCAAATCAAATGCAGATAACCTATACGTAAAATTGTAGTAAAGACATATTAAATGATTCATTTTAATGAATTGAGTTTACACAATAAAAGTCAGGGTAGGGGATAATGAGACATGGAATTGTTCAATTTTATTAATATATCAACGAATAAAATTTGATACGTCAAAATATGATGAAAGTGTACACAATATTTAAATAGTCAGCCATTTTTATTGCGGTACAAGCAGTAGCTGTCACATATCTTGCACAAGACGTTTTTTTTTAATCAGTTGGCGACGCGTGGTGCTTATTACTTCAGACAAGTTATTTTGATATAACGTGTCTATAACGAGTGTTGAGGTTACAAATTGTTGTTTTCAATTTCTCTTAGATTTATTAATTGTTCTGTTTTAAAATCCAGGAGTTGACATCAAAAATTATTTTTCACTAAATGACGGTGAAGATGTTATCCGAACCGTAAGTATATACGTTATTTGTATATAATATATCAAATAGATGTATAAACATTCATATAATTTTTATTAATGTAACTCCCAATTATCAGAAATTAACTCATGTATAAAGTTCGTTATGTGAAAAGTATGTTATGCGAAACGAGTTTTTCATAATGATATATGTTAATAAAATTGATTCGTTGTGTAGTATGAAATGCGGTATTTTATTATTATGACACATTCAAAATAAAAATATTTATCACTTATTGTCGAAAAAGTGATCCTGCTCCCTTATATGCCTTTTATCTCGAGAATTCTCAAAGAAACTGTCGATAATTGTTTGTTTTACTTCATTCTTTAAAACCTACCAAAATGATAAAAAAGTATATTATTGTAAAAATCATTTATCCTATTAACCTCACCCTTGAGTTGACGTATTTTTGCACTTCTTTCCATTTGACCAAATATTAGTAATATAATGTTCTAAAATGAACCCATCTCTTTCCTTAACATAGCAACTTAATTTGTAATTAACGAATACTCATCATGGTTCGACTCTGATTATACAAAACTGTGCCTATTTTTTTACGATGGCGCCACAGTTAACTGGTTAATATTAATAGCGTATATACATCATCTATCGAGAAATAACATAATAAAATTATTTGCTTGTAATGGAAACGATGCCCCCTCTAGATTTTCATATTACTTGCATAGAAAGTATAATAACAACAGCAAAGACTTTTTGTTGTAATGACATTATTTCCAAATTGAATTACTGAAACAAAATGAATTACTGAAAGAAATCTTTGGGTTTTCATTTCTATGTCAATTTTAAACTCTATTTAAAATAATGAGTAGTACTGCCCTAGGCAGGTCCATCATCTTTAAACTTGTTGTTAAACTTCAACTTGATTCATAAAAGAAAGGTGTGAGAGATTTTATATTGCCATTTCATACCGCCTGAAATGGATAGGGTTTTTTTCGCCCATTGCAATTACCTGATATCCAAATTTTTCGATTTTTTTCTGGGTACTCAAAATACACTTGATTTCCACGGGAGGGTTGAATAATTTTAAATATTACCACGAATCGTCAAGGGGTCCAGAAAGCTTTAAAAATCGAACAGGTGATTAATTGACGCTCCTTGTCGGTCCACTTTCTCTTCTCCATTTTTCTCCAGCACCTCATCTCGAATTTTCCGAGGCAGTTTATGTTGACCTTAGAGTTATATGTATATAAGCATACTAGCAAACCCGACGAACTCCGTTTCGCCACCAGATGGTTTCGTGAGAAAGATGAAGATTTTTTTTGTTTGTTTTATATTTAAAAAGGAAAAATTTGATTTTATTACACAACAGTAATGAATTTATTTCGATTACACAAAATAAAGTGTTAAATGAAAGTGAATCCGCAAATTATCCGTTTCATTGAAGTGCTCTTTGGTAAACCACATTTTTTGTTTTTTGGTCTGACGTTAACACAAACAAAGCGGATGGTTTTCCAACTCGTGAACAGGCAACGTATAACTGCCCATGTGAAAAACAATGATTTTCTAAATAATCTATTTGAAATTTATCCCGCAAACACTAAGCGATTGGCCTTGCGACTTATTATTGCGAACGCAAGGCGAACTGGAGATTGCAATCGTTTGAAGTCAAACGAAAGACCAGTCGGAATCATTGGTATGTCACCAAATCGCCAGCAATTTTTGATTGAATGGTGAAATTCAGTGCGTGCACATCATTATTCTTTGCGGCAAGAATTGCTCGTTGACTTAACCAAGCATAATTCTGATAATTCTCACTAATGTCATTACTCGAATTTTTAATTACGGTGCGTGAAGTTCCAGCAGCTTGCATTAAGGCACAATGTCATGCACAACTAATTTTCTTAGCTATAAACCTTGCGGAGCCCGAGACCTTTCCAACGAATGCAAAATTGTCGAAATCGGTTCGTGCGTTCTGGAGTTATTTCGTCAGGAAGGAAAACCCGACTTATTTTTATATATATAGAAGATATAGTGAAACCCCGTTAAGCCGATTTTACCAGGGATTAGACCAAAAACGCGTCTTAAGCGAGAAAATGGGAACAATATGTTTCAAAGTGTGACTGAAATCGTATTGAGCGTGATCTTCTTAACAGATATGTACTGTACATCAACGCTCTATATATAAATGATAATAAACTTAGAATTAAAAGTGATTCAGTTCTTTTACTGATGTGAACATTTAATGCTCTTGATTTTTCCGCACAGCGGCTACAGCCATGAATGCCGCAAAGTACGTAAGCCGTTTGCGTCAAGACGCTCAGCACAGTCGTTTGCTGCTGATACGTCTCTCGGAAATATGTGTTCGTATTTGTGGCCACCGTCTATTTAAGCTCTAAATTTAGAATCGAAGAAATGTATATAAATTGCACATCAAAATTGACATGCGGAAGAATATTAGGCACTTGTAAATTGCTACAATTTAATATAAAGGTAGTGATTAATTGGCTCATGGACTAGTGATATTTGGCATTGCTGGAGCATTCAAGGCAAATTGATGTTCACTTTATAGCAATATCTAAATGTTTTGATTTGAGGGACTCTTGAAAATGTAAAAATTGGTACAAAAAAATTATATAAATAGTACCTAATACCTGCAATTATATATCCTTGGCCGGGTCTTTTTTTAACTTCCCGTAGGGTAAGTTATAGTAATCGCAAAAAAATCTAAAATGAAAATTTTTATATATCTTTACGTTTCAGAGGTTTCTAAAAATTTTGGCATACCTTAAAAAAAATTGATGTATGTGTGTGTGTATGTGTGCATGCGTGTGTGTGTGCGGATACAAATTTTTGTCGACTATTTTGCGAACACGGATCAACCGATTTAAATAATTCAAAAACATTCGATTCCTAGTGATAAGAAGACGTGCTGATTAGTTTTTGGCAAAGGCAAGTCTAGCCGTTTCGGAGATACGGGGAAAAAAGTGCCAAAAATGGTATTTCCATTTGGCAAATGGTAAGAATGAAAAATGTATTTTAATGATTTTTCAATTTATTCTTTTTTATTACACAAATATGACTGTTTTCAAATATTTTGTTTATTGATTATGTTTTTTGTGTTCTATCCACTGAAAAAGAGTCAAACAGGGACTCTAAACATATGGAAGCTTATTAAACTTTTTTTTTGATCTTCCGAAGTGACACTTCTTCGAACAAAGACTTCGAACTGTATGGAAGTCTATTAAATATTTTTAGAAAAAATTTCTCTCATTTATCTGGATGAACACCCGGTGAAAAGAAAGGTAAGGAAGATATACAAAAAGAAAATGTACTTTATTATTTGAACTTTTCTTAAAGAATCTGATAACTAGAAAGAATCTAATAGCCATCTAATAACTATAAGTAATAACGAATACTCTATTTTTTCCGACGCAAATTGTCAGCATACATTTTAAGAAGTCTACATTAAACAAGTCATAATTAATTCTACAAAATGTGATTATCAAAATTGTTTCAGATATACTTTGTAACAACATTTTTACTTGGCAAAAAATAATCGTTAGTTCAGTCATTCCACGTTCGATATTTTCATCGATTATCTCAGGCAAGTATAGATTTTGAAATACTGCCATAGGAATCTTCGAATATTGGTAATATTTACATCTATGTTGACGTAGATCATAAATCAACATTTGGTTAAAATTGTGATTAATTTCTGACGAGTGTAGTTAGAGGTGTCACAACCTGATTTTGAAAATTTAGCTTCTAGAACCGATACCCATGATAACCGATCTTATGTTTATTATTAATTCAGTTTCTGAAATTGAGTTAATTTTTAAAGTAAGTCTTTAACTTATATTGTTAATATTAACTTATATTCATACAGATTCTATAAATATGTATAATTTATTTTACTGAATTTTGTATTCTGTAAATGGATTCAAAGGATCAAAATTGCTCGAAAAAGCACTCTAGTCTAAACAAAGGATTTAAACTATTCGCGTGAATTTTTCAAAATTTTATTTTTTCAAATAAAATATTTTTTATATCGTAAGCCGCATTTTAAATTATCTCTAAAATAGGGAATATATCTATCAGGCCATCTCTTTTGATATTTCGCTATGATTAAAATGAGAATCATTTTACAATTAGTATTTAACCCGTGAAGTCCATTACTTTTTCAATAATAAATAACTTAAATAAAATTTCATTAATTAAGCTCAATGAGATAATGAATTCTATTCGTTTCGATATATTTTGATCATTTTTAGCCATTTTTGTCTACAATTTACTTCTTTAAATTCTGCTAAAAGCTGAAATTTTACTTATAGAATAAATGAAAATCAAAGTTACAAAATTATATGAATTAACATATTTTCCGTAAATCTCAAAATTTCATAATTTTATCTAATATTATTAACTTCACACAGGAGAAGTTTATGTTTTCGTCAGAATATCTGATTTTCTATTTTTTTTATATTTCAAGTCATTCTGAATTGTTAACTTCCCGTAGGGTAAGTTATAGTAATCGCAAAAAAAACGAAAATGAAAATTTTTATATATCTTTACGTTTCAGAGGTTTCTGAATATTTTGGCATACCTTAGAAAAAATGGATGTATGTGTGTGTGTGTGTGCGTGTATGTATGTAT